AGACCACTGCAACCTGCCCCTTAGCTACTTTTCCAACCATAGCTTTGGTTAACTCTCCTTATAAGCAACTGGGCTAGAGCCAGGCTCCAGTCTTCCCCTCTCCTCCTATTTCCTGTGCCCAGGACATTCCCCACCCCTCCTACTCAACCTGTGGAAATTGAGGTAATTCTTCTTAGAAAGTTTCAGGCAGGGGAGATGCCTGGGTGGCTCAGTCGGCTGAGCTGTTGATTTCAGCTCGGGTCACGATCTCATGGTTTGTGGGTTCGAACTCCACCTCAGGAGGCACCTGACAGCACTGAGGCTGCTTGGGATTTCCCCTCTCTCTCTCTCAAAATAAACATAAAAAGAAAAAGTTTCAGGGGTGCCTGGGAGGCTCAATCCGTTAAGCATCTGACTGGATTTGGGCTAAGGTCATGATCTCGCACTTCGTGGGTTGGAGCCCTGCATCCGGTCCGCACTGGCAGTGTGGAGCCTGCTTGGGATTCGTTCTCTGTCCCTCTCTCTGCCCCTCTGCAGGTTGCTCTCTCTCTCTAAGTAAACTTAAAAAAAAATTTTTTTAAGTTTCAGGCACACAAAATGTTTCATAAATGTTTATTATTTATCATCTCCCATGGATCTTCTAAGTCCTAAAATTTAATGCCCCTGAGTTATCACTCCCCAGCTGACGAGTTCTCAGAAGAAAAAGCCCATGACAGATTTGTCTTCTTGGTTCCATGGCTGCCTGGCACAGCACTGGGCTGGAATAAGGTAAATTAATCTGTTCAATAGACGTAAACAGGACGCTATTTTCTGGCTGCCCCCGGTGCGCATGGCTCCCCAGCAGGCACTGACTGGTCTCCAGAGCGAGGCCGATTATTGGGCGGCGGAGACGCAAGCGACCACACCACGAAGGGCTGCTCGGAGCCGGGATCCAGGGCAAGCCGCGCTGGGCCGCGGCGGACAATGCTGGAGGCCCCACCCCCGGAGCCCCGCCCCGCCCCGGAGCCCCGCCCCGCCCCGGAGCCCCGCCCCGCCCCGGAGCCC